GAGTGCGGGAAGGACGGCTCGGGCCTCCTGGAACTTTCCACACATTTTAATGTGCTCATCCACCCCCGCTTGTCCGCTCGGTTGAGTCTTTAACGAACGATTGGTAAATACGTTTAAACAACGTTTACAATAGTACTCGTGTCGTTTGCCCTCGGTTCGTTGTTTTGACACGAGTCTCGTGATATATAACAATAGTGGCTATTTCCCGGCTCGGTAACGTAAAGTAAATCAACATGACCGGTGCTCGTACGCGATTTAGTGATACGCAACGGATACACGTTATTTTTATCGTCCAACGCAAACACATTGACCGACATTGACGGGTTATTACGTTCAAATCGAATAATTTGTTTCAATGGTGTAGGAAAGTCAATGCCGTCAAAACGTATATTTGTGGATTTTTCTAGATCAATGTAACCTGCATTCCATCGATCTTTATTTTTTTTGTTCTTGTTGTACTTACATAAAATCGCCCATTTAAAACACTGCTGATCAGCGTTTCTTACGTTTATGACCACAAATGTTCGTTTAATACTCAGTGGAAGTTCAATGTACGAGCCACCGCTAAATGGTGAAATTTTCGTGACTCTCAACAGCAGTCCGTCTATGAATAATAGCGACCACCCGCTACCTCGGGTCACCATTTCCTGTTGTTCGTACACGAGTTTCTCCGTGATTCCATCCAAAACGGCGGCATATACGGTACCTGAATCGACAGTTTTGTTACGCGTTTTAAACAATACGTCTCTCATTTCATCCATAACTTGGTGTATGTACGTTGTGTGCAGTACAACGTTGAATTTTATTATACCGTGCTTGGTAACGTCATTTAGTACGGTGGTTAAATCGTCACTCACGCATCGAATAAAATCGTCAATGTCGTCAATAGACGTTTCATTTTTCAAAAAATAATGTATAACTCGATCGCGTAGTGCAGATTCTATCGGAACAAAGCCGGTCCCTGCAACGTGCATGCACGCGCGTTTGGTCACCTTACCCGCAGGCGCGGACAGACATCGTTTCCCTGAAATAACAGTTTGACGGTGACCCTGATTCATACTACAATGAACATTCAAACCAGTACTATCGACAAATGAAGACCCACAACCGCATACAAACGACATGATAACAACTATTGAAAAATTAATACATTAGTTAAACGTGTGTATGGCCACCTCTTTAATCAACTATTCAGTTCAATGTACTTTTACTATTGGAGTAAACACTACTGGACTGTTAACGGATTATATTATCAATGGTGTGTAAAACTTGAATACATGAGTTTTTTTTTCTTCTTAAAATCTACTTTAAAGTATTGCTATTGTGATTTTTGTTTTTACATTTTCCACCAATTTGAAAAACTATCAATCTTATAATATTAATCTAAAGTATAATTTACCTTTGTCATAAACTACTATTAGGTTCTATACTATCGGAGTAATAATGCAAACACAAATAGATTGTGAACGAACTATATAATTTTATTTCAATTGTTGTACATAAATCATCATTAGATACAAACAGATTTGTTGATTGTAAAAAAAAAAAAAAAAAGTTAATGAATTAAAAAAAAAATTTATTGAAAATCAAATGAATAAGCATTTCCCGTTCTTCCTCTGTAACACAGTGACATTTTGGTGTCGCCGTCGTTGTACGTTTTAATTTCATCGTCCGTCAACTGTATTCTTGGAACAAAAACTTGTTGGTTGTCGGGTAACCGTACCACCACCACAACACCGTTTCTCGTTGTCAAATTTTTCATTGAATCAACTCTATAGGCATGATTCTCTACCAAGTCAGACATTTTAATGTACTCCATGCCTTTGGCTTGATTATTCATTTTTTGTTTTAATTGTTCCATTTTCTACACACCAAAATTATTCGTGAGTAAACTATATATATATGGTGAATGTTGTATTAATGGTATACAACTCGACACTGATACATACATTTTTAACAATAACTACTATCATCAGCATGACACGGAGGAGATCACCGCGTAATATAAATTTCCCGAAATTTGCACATAACTCGAAAACAGTGCTATGAATTTTTTTTTTTCGTCACTCTCTCATAGCATACTACCCCTTTCCTCTCTCTACTTGTTTATGTTTAAGATAAATCACAGAGCTACAATACAGCCGATGCACTCCTTCAGCTATGTGTACTCATCTAACCATTTATAAACTGAATTTTTTTTTTCTTTAATAATACAGTTGTTTACAAACTATTCGTCATCATACACTATAGAAATCGTTGAGTGTGTATCGGAGCGTAGCACACACACACACACACATGTTTACATAAGATAATATTCTTTAACCTTTACAACATAAATACTAATCTATTCACCATTTCATTTTACGATACATACCCGATACAAATGACCTGATTGTTACTACATTGTGACCATTAGATTATTTAATAAGGAAATCAATACATTTTTTTTATAAGTTAGTGAAAACAAGTACACACATACACACCATTAATACAACATATTTATTTTAATATTTCAATATAATACATTAAATATATTTACAAAACTATATATACAAAACTATATATACAACAATTAATCTACACTGTCCATGTAAATATTTGTTCATCACAAAATTTACAAGAACAGTGAGGTGGAAAATGCAATATCAAAAAGTGCATAGAATAGGGATTGAGAACAAACTCCTCAACCACCTTCTATACAATTACACGTTCCTGAATATTCGATAATTCTACAAAACATGTACCCGACTTACTAATAGATGCCGTGGAGCCGTCGGGATAACGTACATTATAAAAATGAAATTTTAAATAATTTTTTTCGCCAAACAGCATTATTAAATTACCCGCTCGAATTTCTCTCTTGTATAAATCGGCACAGCTCCGAATGGTTCGTAATGCTTCCGGATCGCGGATAATAAACCCATCATTCATTACTCCACGGTCAAAAGCTGTGCGATTTCGAAAAATTTTCAAATTTTCAGCGATTTCTAAAAAACATAACACTCCAGTACTTTCCATATATTCAACCAGATGTTCTACATTATTGACACTTTTTGGTAATTTCATTTTGAATAACTAAAATTATTGTAAACTTATAAGTACATTTTGAACTGAATAGTGATAGATAATAACTTACTTTTGATTAAATACACGAAAACAGATACACTTGAAAAAGATTCTGGAACGGTTTTATTGAATATATTTAACTTAAAAATTTGTGTTTGTATTACTTAAAATACTATAACTTTAGTTTTAATCATACATTAGTTGTGCAGACTACAATTGTGTCACAAAAAAATTTTAAAACTGGTTTGAATAAAATAAATTATTTTAGAATATAATAAAAAAACCCAGCACAGGGGGGTCGCGGCACAGTGGTGACGTGGCATAGTTGGATCAAGTATAATGATATCTGACAGTGATTAAAATCACTATCAAAAAAAAACGCTTCGATGCAAATCTTTAGATAGTGTTTAATTTTAAAAAATTGGTGGATTATTCCAAAAGCTTCATAAACTGCTAGTTCCTTATTAATATCCTGATTAAGATAAAGTATGTCGAATGAAAAAGGGATTATTAAAAAATAGTATTTCCCATAAAAAAATTATATTGATCAATACACTTTTCAATAAGTTATAGCATTATAATGTTAAAAATGTAAAAAATAAAATTGAGAATTTTCACACAATAATAGCATTTGGTAGCCATTTTCACC